CTCTCAAAAATGAATAAACATTTTTTAAAATTTTTAAAGAAAATGGTAAAATAATATTTCACTATAAATAAAATGTGGAAAGAGCTACGATAATTTGGTTTCCAAATATCACATATATAAATTGCTGCAATGACCAGCTTTTGAGGAACTTATGAAAGTACCATACCAAAAGTAAATAAACATTTTCTGAATCTTGTTTCTTGATTTTTAAGCATTTAGTCTGAATATTTAAACTCCTTTTCTAATTTACATATTTTATCTGACACTTATTCTTTTAGGCAATACTAATTATATTTAAGAATGCTGAGAAGATGGCATTTTACACTGAGGAATAAGCCATAGTGAGGGAAGAGTGTTCTAGAGTAGATGTCCACTGTGGATTGATCCTTATGTCCAGAAGTGAAGTATGCCATATCAATCAGAGTCGTTGTGGAAGCAGCTCTTATTTGCACTGCGTATTAAATGGCAGACAAAATTGTGACTGTCCACTGCATTGTCCACTGCTAAACTGGCAAAGGAGGGGGAAGTTATTAATCAGTGCCTTCATGTTTTCTTCCCAGTCCCTACTCTCCTACTCTATCATAAAATTAAGAATTATGATGACTAGGGGCACCTGGATGGCTCAGCCGGGTAAGTGTCCAACTCTTTATTTCAGCTCAGGTCATGACCCCACAGTCGTGAGATTGAGCCCCACATCAGGTTCACGCTAGGTGTGGAGCCTGCTTAGGATTCTCTCTCCCTCTGCCCTTCCCCTGCTCACATGCATAACCTCTCTCTCTCGCTCTCTCTCTCAAAAAAAAAAAAAAGAAGAAGAAGAAGAATTATGATGATAAATGTAGTTACTATATTAAAAAGGGGACACCAGCACATTTGGAAATGTGTTTCTTTGAAAAAAGTATATATGCTACACAAACTGCCCAAAACAAATTTAGGAAGTGTGAGGAAATACTGGTGTGGTCAGGAATACTTTTCTCCTCCTTATATTTGGTAACCCACTTTCCCCTGGGTCCTGGTAGAGCTTTCAGGCTACCCAGCTCAGCCACAGGATTTGCAAATGACCCAGGATAATCCAACCATCCATCACCCCCCTAACAAAGTGACTCTCCTAGCTCTGGCCATGACTCCAGAGGAGCCCACCAGTATTCTCTGGGATTGCTAACTAGAATACTCTAGGTGTGACATTGCCAGTAGCTATAAGGAACAACTATATCTGCCAAACTATTGTTTGAGTAGGGATCAATTAAGTGGAAAAATGTAATACACTGCTCTAGACAAAACAGGATGTTTGATATTCGTTGTAACAACTGACAAAAATTAGTTGAGTGCCTTCTGTGTGTGCTTATAGATGTACAAAGTATATATCGCTTGGTTTAATACAGGCTTTGAACTTTGAGAGATGCTACTCTACTATATAATTCACTAAATCATTTCCTATGATATGTTTATCAAAACTAGATCAGAGATTATCTACACTACACTTGTTTTATGATATCCATCTGCTCACATCCTTTTCTATAAAAAATGGAATCACTCACTGTTCAAGGAAGGGCAGAAGTCACATTCAAGAGCATACAATCCTGCCACTCCTCTCACCAGCCAGAAAATTACTAAATCCTTTATTTGTTTTTACCTACTGTTACTTGTCTGTATCATCTCTCTAAAATGAAAACAGTGGTTTTTGGTTTGCTTTGTTTACCGACGTATCCTAGGTACTTACAATAATTCCTGGTATTTGTTAGAGAATTAATAAAATACTTGTTGAATAAATGAATAGGACTAGTAAGTGGGCAAGGGCATCTATAAACTGGCAAGCAACTTATGACCAGAATAACCTGGCCATAAAAAGTATGCCAGACAAATCAAATTCTTCTGCTAGAGAATTCTGAATAGAAAAAAATGAGAGACTAAAGCAGTCAAAAAAAAAAGTACCAAGACTTACTATGATCTAGAGAAAGGTTGGGAAACCACAGGGGTCATGTGTAAAACTAAAGTTACAGGGGCCCCTGGATGGCTTAGTCACTTAAGCATCCGACTTTGGCTCAGATCATGATCTCACAGCTTGTGAGTTTGAGCTCCACAGCCTGCAGCCTGCTTTGGATTCTGT